CACTGCAGACCCACGATACCCCTGGCGATACCCCTGGTGGTATCGTGGGTCTCGTTAAAGAACTACACTTCAGACCCACGATACCCCTGGGAGTAAAGTTGGCAAACGAGGACCGGCGCGGGCGCGGCGGGCGGGGAGGGGGGGGCACATCGCGCGCACAGTGTTGTGGAATACCTCTATGAATTCTAAAATGATTTCATTGAACATGCAATAAAATTTATATCGTTAAAAATAAAAATAAATTAACAACAATTCATACCTACGTACGTACTCGTATAATGAATAATTAGTATCAGGTAAAGTACCAGGGCAACATAACCATAAAGGAGCTATTTTGTGATACATATTTATTTCTCGGGTCAACCAAGAAGAATTTAATAATAGCTGCTATAAGGTTATGTTATCCTGGTACCTTTTATTTACCGTAGTAAATTCCTTTTTTCCCCATTGCTCAACTAGACTGCTCAACTGCGCAACTGTTCAACTGACTGGTTATATTTCCCATACAAACTGCTCTACTGGAGAAGTTTTGTAAAGTTAAAAAAAAACTTTATTTTGACTTCATAAAATTAAAATATAGCCTAAAATTTACAAAAAAAATTATTTACATAATTTTTTTTATAAATTATTGATAATCAAGATCGCTTTTTTTTCTCAAGAGCAAACTACTCATTTAAATCATTGTCACACAACGTGGTAGATGAAATTACCTTTTTATCACATCAGATAACATAGATTAAAGTACCAGGACAAAAATAAATAATTATAGTCAAAGTGTTAATTTATAAGTGCTATTAATAAATAATTTATTCATTGTATGTAGGTATGAATTGTTGTTATTTTATTTTTATTTTTAACGATATAAATTTTATTATTGCATGTTCAATGAAATCAATTTAGAATTCATAGAGGTACCTATTCCACAACACTGTGCGCGCGATGTGCCCCCCCTCCCCGCCCGCCGCGCCCGCGCCGGTCCTCGTTTGCCAACTTTACTCCCAGGGGTATCGTGGGTCTGAAGTGTAGTTCTTTAACGAGACCCACGATACCACCAGGGGTATCGCCAGGGGTATCGTGGGTCTGAAGTGTAGTTCTTTAACGAGACCCACGATACCACCAGGGGTATCGCCAGGGGTATCGTGGGTCTGCAGTGTTTAAAACAACTTACACATATTCGAGGTTGGACCTAGTGGTGATACCGTCCGGCCACTCTCCGAAGCACACGCGCCTGCAAACAATACACATTGCTGTATAAAGTGAAAAAGAGAAAGGAAGAAAAAACGAAAGAAACGTTTATTGCTATGGACATCACACAAGGACATAAAAGGTAAATAAAAAAAAGATAGAGGTAACACATAAAACATAATAAAATGAAAGAGAAAGTGAACTGAGCAGTGCCACCCTGTCGCAACAGCGATGCTCATCGCAATGGCACCCCACTCAGCATAGCATAGCAAGTACCTATTTGAAATTATATTGTATCACAATGTATTTTACTGCTTTGTTTGTAGGAGTTGTGGGTACTAATTTTAATCCTACTTTTGATACTTTCGTTTCTTCTCAGCACTTGCCATATTATGTTTGTCTCGAAGCACTGGTAGGGTCCAAAAGACAAGGAGACATGTAGAATGCCCCTTGAAGGGCTACCTTTCTACTAAAAATACTGGTCAAAATTGAATAAATACTTTTGATTTGATTTAATGTGTGTTCCTTTTGTGCAAATAAACATTTTATCTATCAAAACATAAAGTCACTTTACACGCGTTGAGACGACCGTTCGGAGATTTCCCCCGGGATTAACCTGTTGCTTTAAAAGAACGCCAAATCTGAATGAATTTAGACAACAATAAAGTAGTGAAGATAGAGCCCGGAATATTTTAGTACGAATTTACGTCTTTATAATATTAGAAACAATAATTTACTTAGTTTTTTATTTTAGATCAAGGAGTTTGAATACAAATACTACTGTATAGATGACCCACGCTGAACTGTCCCACCAAACTCAATGACAGGGGGGCGCTACCATCGTTCAACTATATGGTTTCCAACATGGCAAAAATCAGAACCAGCGATCCGGTATTGACGGTGGCGCCCCACTGTCAATGTCATGCATAGGACAACAGTTCAGTATTTTGGAACTATATTAAATTTCATCATCATTGTCAATATGACAGCGGAATGTTTTCCTCAATGAGTTCCAAATTATCGCTATTATAGCCTGACCAGTGGGTCTAGACAAAGTGCAAATTATAATCGCAAACTGGTCGAAAAGTGGTCGAAAAGCCCCTTTTTTGTATGGAGTTTTGACGGATTCGATTTTCGATTCGATCAAAAAGTGCGTTTTGTCTAGGGGGGCAGGAACANGGCTGTTCATTCTCTCTACAAAAGCATTTTATGCTGGCAGGTCGCTAATAAAACAATCCAGAAAAAATAAATTCGAAATTGGAATGCAATCAATTTTCAAAAAAAAAAAATTATAGCTTTAATAATAATTTTATCACGGGCCAGCTATAAGCGTAAATCCTGGCATGCAATAAAAAAAAGTTTTACGCGCTCCCTCGGGCGCAATACGCAGGAGATCCAATCGACCGACTGCACACACCGTTCGAAATCCGAATGAACACGATCGCGTTTTGTTTATACCGATTTCGATTGGGAGCCAATTTTTGAAACAAAATACATCGGATCTTTTTTTTTTCGGGACAAATGACTGGCGATTCCAAATCCTATGACCTGTAGTATTACCGTGGACCTGATTTGGGATAAAAAAGTAAAAAACAAGTTAGCTATTGGCTCTTGTTACCTCGTCTTGCCTAGAAATGCTTTTTTGTCTATTAAGAGCCAAAAAACTTAAGTAACTTTACCATACTCGTGCAGACATTGTATTTAGTATTTAATAAAAATTCTGGTAATAAAATTTAGTTTGAAAGTTTCATTGGACTTTTTATTTTTATTCTTTCATATTGTCCTAAACGAAGTGACTTTTCGTTCTCTATAGCTAGCTAGTATCAACATGAAAAAAACTACGATGAATATTATGACTTCGGGCATCGACAATTATGATTATTATTATGACTTATAGCACTTATTACGGAATGTTATTCTAAGTGTGAACCCGTGAACAAAATTACACTAGTTTCTCGAGTGTTTGGCTTAGTTTGTCTCAAGTATGACATCTTGGTTGTAACGAAGTAACTTACTTGTAAAACTATTTCTGATATTCGGGGCTCAGAGGTACCTACTAACGCGGAGTGCTAATGAGTTGAAGGGCACTTTGCTTTGTAATTAAGCTTAGTTAAGTTTACTTGTTCACCTGTGGTTGTTAGGAACTACGTTTGAAGGTACGCTGACCTTCAGCTGTATAAATAAAGCTAATCCAGCTAAGAACTTAAATAATTACATCCAAAACAAACCAATAACTAACTATCTTTAGTGGTTATTATGATAGCTGGAACACGTCTGCTTCTCTTAAGACCTTCTAACTTTGGATCGGCTTTTCAAAGAAAATTGCGTCTAAATTAAAAGATGTTGCCGAATTTAAACCCAATTAAAAGTTAGAATTAAATATTCAGCTGACGAGGCAACGTTGTCAATTATGTTGCGTATTTTGATTCTGCAGGTGACTTACTGCATAAAAAGTTTTTGTAATCAAAAAATTTAATTTTTCTTGAAGTTCATTAATGCTTTGTAATGAACTTTATGCAGAATGTCCCAAAATTACCACGTTACAGTGAGGTAGGTGGGTCTAAATTATATCGAGCAAGCCTACATTAGGCTTGTCCATAGAAAAGTTTCACAAGTTGTGTGTGATCTCATAATTATTATGACCAATTTTTAGTTCGTAATTATTAATAATTTTAGTTTAAAATATGACTGATATTCGTTATTTTAAAGAAATTACTTCATAAAATTTATTAAAGCTATAAAATTTTTGGGACATCCTGTATAAGTGTGTGAATTATACTTTCTGTAATCTGAATGTCACATGAATGTGCTGTGTAATGTGTTGTGATGCAAACACACTGTCGAGCTCTATTAGCCCTGAAACGTACCATGCAAAGACCTCTAGCTGGGCCGAGGATTGTAATGTCAGCCAAGAGCATGGAAAAACATGAAATACGTTCATCTGCTTACACTTTATTACAATTATTTTGTAATAGTTACCAAAAAGTGAAAAATAAATTATTTTACATTACAGCTTTTAAAGGGTAAATGTTAGAAGGACTACCTATATCTAAAACAGATAGTAGGTCTACACAGGCAACAGGCACGTTTAATATTAATTTACAAGTAAGTACCCAATTAATCGAATGTACCTACTACTACTATTTCTATTTATTTATATTAACCGGCAGACAGTGGTGACTGAGTTTGTTGCGGCGCTTCTTCTCAGCACTTGCCAAATGTTGGTCTCGAAGCGCTGGTAGGGTAAAAAGATTATGAGACATGTAGAGGCTCCTTAAGAGCAAAATGACGATTTGTAAGAACTATTTATTAGTCCAAACAATAAAGAAATTTTGACTTTTGACTTTTGACTTTTAAGTGCTCATTTTCGTGTTTCATAATAGGTTGCTTAGAAGATTTCAAAGGCCTACCTTTTAATAAAACTGAAGATACTCATCTGATATTTACTATTTAATAGTCTATACAAATAAAAATAAATAAAATCAAAATCAAAAATCAAAATCAAAAATATTTATTCAGTTTAGACCACAAGTGGCACTTATGAACGTCAATAGAAAATAATAAAAAAAAGAAATTTTGACTTTGATTTTGATAAATGTTTATGATACCAAATTGTGGATAGCTTGCCGAAAAAAAATACTCTACAACTACACTCGCGAGCAAAAGTATGGAATCTCCCCATTCGTTTTGAGTAGTCTTTGTAGCTAAACGACTATGAAGATTAAATTATAAATGGTACCAGTTTAAAGGATACATTACAAACTTTAACTTGATACCATAGATGCATAGATAGTCATTGAGTTCTTAAGTGTGCCTACCATGAGTTTACGTTAGGTGTGCTCGCTAGCGACTGCGTAAAAAAATGACATTTAAATGTATGACATATTGTGCAGCGCCCCTAGTGGCTACTTTCAAGAAATAAAATCTTCATAGAATTTTTTGACGTATTCGCTAGCGAGCTCACCTAACGTAAACTCATGGTAAGCACACAGATCGTTGGAAACAAAACTCAAGAGGGTAATTCCACAATTTTGCTCGTAAGTATATTATCCTAAGATAAGATTTCTCACAAGAGTAGCCTAACGACCAGTGTACCTACCATGAGTTTACGTTAGGTGTGCTCGCTAGCGAAAACGTCAAAAATCTCTATGGAGATTTTGTTTCTTGAAAGTAGCCGCTAGGGGCGTTGCACAATATGTCATACAATTAGGTGTCATTTTTTTACGCAGTCGCTAGCGAGCACACGTAACGTAAACTCATGGTAAGCACACAGAAATGTTATGGATATCCGTAACCGTAACCGAAACTTTCGGAGATCCGGAATAAAAAAATATCCGAAACCGTAACCGTAACCGATTCAAAAGTTTCGGATGTATGCAGTTTCAACTGTTTTTTGTATAGCATTATATCGATACCTCTGGGCTCAAAGGTCGTAAAGGACAAAATACCGAAAATGAGTTATTTATACAGTTTTACTCAGAATTTAATTCTCTATCGATCTGTATATTTAGTTTGTCGAAATTCTCAAAAAAAGTGCCTTTACGACCCATCATTTTTGATAAGCTAAACAGAAATCATCGTGAAAATTGGGACGTAAATACCATTTGATTTTTTCGTACAGTTACCATGGTAGTAAAGAACAAGTAAACACAATTTTTTGGGCGTATAATGTTNAATAAAATAAATTCTACTAGCTCGATTGATGGTTTCATTTAATTTATTTAAATCAGGTTACCTATAGTAATATTTTTTCATTAATTTATGAAAATATCAAATTAGCCCGTAATCCTGAATCCTGATACATAAAGTTAGCCTATTAATTTAACACAAGTACGACTGTACTCAGTGTTGCACTATCAAATGCAATTGACGCGCCTCTATGCCAGGGTTTTTATGTTCCTGGTCAGGCTATAAACTAATAAATACACTTTTTTTCCTTGGCTTTCGCATATTTCATTTAGATCTAAAAAAAATTAAGCTCTAAAAGTTAGTTTAGTTAGAATAACTAACGTACAAAACCGTATTCAGATGAAACTGAACGAATCCAAAAAATGTTCGGCTGTTCCTTAGATTAATAAAACCTAGATAGATAGTCAGTGCACGAAAGGTGAGGCAGATTTTAGTAAGCCAGAATGGCTTACTCGTAAACGTCACATGAACTGTCAAAGTGAAAAATTGGTAAATACGTCCGACGACTTTTAATTAATTAAGACGGTTTGTGCTGTGAAAGGGTGTCTAAATACATCAGAAAAACTAAAGAAAGTGACCAGTGTTACATTTCATAAGTAAGTACTACGATTCGACGCGTATTTTGCTTGAATTTGGCTTTCAAAAATTAAATACGGGAATGATACCAGTAACAAGAAAATTTATTTCCCAATTGTTCGCCGTACAAATCATGTTTTTATGATGTTTTTGATGATTTCACAAAAATTTTAAAAATTAAGAAGCTAGATTTGTTAAAGTATTATGAGAAAAAAAAGTCACCTTACTGTAGTACCTTGAGGTGTAGTTATTTTCTATGCACAAATCACACAAATGCTACACTTATCAATTGTTTTTAATGATTTCCTAGTAATTTTGACTAACGCCCTTGGTCAAACCACTTTTACTGTAGGTACTAACAATTATAATAAATAAGTATAGTTTCTAAAGTTATTTGGATCAGCTAATATTCTTCTTCTTCTTTTCGTGTCGACAACAAACCAACACAGTGTCAGCCCAAAACTCCGCCACAAGAGTGGCGTTGTCAGTAGCACTCATCAAATCCTCCTGAGTGCAGTTGCTTGGGCACTCAGGGCATGACATTAGGTGCCTCATCGACTGGGGAACAAAACCGCACCTGCACTCCATGTTCAAGCCATCCAAGAATCCCCACCTGGCCAGATTGTCCTTACTACGGCCAACCTGCGTCCGAAGTCTATTTAAAGCTAATATTAATCTAGTAGGAAAAATATTTGCACAACATGGGAAAATATAGTGTCAGTTGAGACTAAATCTACTAAGAACCGTGAATGCACTTTTTTTTCGAAGTTATATTTTATATTAAAAATAATAATTGGCTTTTAAAAACTGTATTATTACTCCTACAGTAAAGTAAGTGGATGTACTTTACTGGAATGAAAGCTTCCTACTTGTAATATTACTTACCTAACCTTTCTACTTTTATATCAAGTAAAATGACATAATTTTTAGCTAGTATGAATAATAACGTAATGTTTAATCTATTTAGAATTAAGAATAATTTATAGTTTGGTTTTCGCTTGTCCTTAATAATTCTATCCGATCTGCATTATCATAAGGTCAACTGGTTGACAGACTGCCCTATGGAATTAAGTTCGCCATTTGTAGTTTTTCGAAACAATGATAATGATTAAATAAAATTAAATTGGATTCGGCTTTTCGTATATAGTACACATTTATTAAGTTTCTTATTAAAGCGTCATAATATTTATTTTCTAAATTCGCTCGTATATCGGAAATGGTATCTTCTAGTTCGAAGATGTCAAAACTTCTGCTTAAATAGTTCCATAAATTGTGTGCATTAAATTATGAAGCTACGGAAAATCATTTTATTTTATTTAAAAGACCATAATTCATTAACAATGTGTAAAGAAATGGTATATTACATATCAAATAGCATAAAACATTAAATATTTAAGCTAAATTATCAATTTACCCTTGCATAATACCTTACCTGGGTGTTCCGTTACGACCTATGAACANGGCGAGGGTTTTTATGTTCCTGGTCAGGCTATAGCTAGTATCAACATGAAAAAAACTACGATGAATATTATGACTTCGGGCATCGACAATTATGATTATTATTATGACTTATAGCACTTATTACGGAATGTTATTCTAAGTGTGAACTCGTGAACAAAATTACACTAGTTTCTCGAGTGTTTGGCTTAGTTTGTCTCAAGTATGTCATCTTGGTTGTAACGAAGTAACTTACTTGTAAAACTATTTCTGATATTCGGGGCTCAGAGGTACTAACGCGGAGTGTTAATGAGTTGAAGGGCACTTTGCTTTGTAATTAAGCTTAGTTAAGTTTACTTCTTCACCTGTGGTTGTTAGGAACTACGTTTGAAGGTACGCTGACCTCCAGCTGTATAAATAAAGCTAATCCAGTTAAGAACTTAGATAATTATATCCAAAACAAACCAATAACTAACTATCTTTAGTGGTTATTATGATAGCTGGAACACGTCTGCTTCTCTTAAGACCTTCTAACTTTTTAGCGGCTTTTCAAAGAAAATTGCGTCTAAATTAAAAGATGTTGCCGAATTTAAACCCAATTAAAAGTTAGAATTAAGTATTCAGCTGACGAGGCAACGATGTCAATTATGTTGCGTATTTTGATTCTGCTGGTGACTTACTGCATAAAAAGTTTTTGTAATCAAAAATTTTAATTTTTCTTGAAGTTCATTAATGCTTTGTAATGAACTATATGCAGAATGTCCCAAAATTACCACGCTACAGTGAGGTAGGTGGGTCTAAATTGTATCGAGCAAGCCTACATTAGGCTTGTCCATAGAAAAGTTTCACAAGTTGTGAGTGATCTCATAATTATTATGACCAATTTTTAGTTCGTAATTATTAATAATTTTAGTTTAAAATATGACTGATATTAGTTATTTTAAAGAAATTACTTCATAAACTTTTCCGATGCGTCTTAGGCCCAGCTAAGTCAGTGTGACATGCTAATTTTGGGACACCCTGTATAAGTGTGTGAATTAGACCTACTGTAGTCTGAATGTGCGTGCATGCTTGTGTTGTGACGCAAACACACCGTCAAGCTCTATTAGCTCTGAAACGTCCCATGCAAATACCTCTACTTAGGCCGAGGATAGTAATGTCAGCCAAGAGTATGGAAAAACATGAAATACGTTCATCTGCTTACACATTATTACAATTATTTTGTAATAGTTACCAAAAAGTGAAAAATAAATTATTTTACATTACAGCTTTTAAAGGGTAAATGTTAGAAGGACTACCTAAAACAGATAGTAGGTCTACACAGGCAACAGGCACGTTTAATATTAATTTTCAAGTAAGTACCCAATTAAGTGCTCATTTTCGTGTTTCATAATTTGGTTGCTTAGGAGATTTCAAAGGCCTACCTTTTAATAAAACTGAAGATACTCATCTGATATTTACTATTTAATAGTCAAAACAAATAAAAATAAATAAAGAAATTTTGACTTTGACTTTGATAACTGTTTATGATACCAAATTGTGGATAGCTTGCCGATAAAAAATAGACTCTACAACTACACTCGCGAGCAAAAGTATGGAATCATCCCATTCGTTTTGAGTAGTCTTTGTAGCTAAACGACTATGAAGATTAAATTATAAATGGTACCAGTTTAAAGGTTACATTACAAACTTTAACTTGATACCATAGATGCTTAGATAGTCATTGAGTTCTTCAGATCGTTGGAAACAAAACTCAAGAGGGTAATTCCATAATTTTGCTCGTAAGTATATTATCCTAAGATACACACAAGAGTAGCGTAACGACCAGTAATGTTATGGATATCCGTAACCGTAACCGAAACTTTCGGATATCCAAAATAAAAAAATATCCGAAACCGTAACCGAAACCGGTTCAAAAGTTTCGGATGTAGGCAGTTTAAATTGTTTTTTGTATAGCATTATATGTAAGCATAACAGCCTGATTTACTTTTATAATGCCATCTAATATCAATTTTTACTTTTTTATTACTACTTTTTATTCGATATGAAGTGTCCGGCCATGAATGAACCGTGTTGGACAATTATTGCAAATTGTATAAATTCTAAAGTACAGATATCCGTAACCGTAACCGAAACCGGTATAATATTATTCCTATATCCGTAACCGTATCCATAACCGAAACTACATATCCATAACATCCCTATAACGACCACATAACAATAACATTAACGCTACACGCTACATACCTCGCACTGCCGTCGGGTAACACGTCCGTGTCTGTGGTGAAGTAGATTAGGTTCGGACTGCTGATCACAGACGAGCCTGCCCAGATGGCGGCAGCAATCCCAAGAGTGGCCCGCTTGCCCAACCGTGGTCTTAGTGGGCTCATTATGGCCACGTACCTGTCGATAATTGAAAAAACCGTTAAGAATGAGGAAATATTTGGCATTTTGTTTATTGGATGAGAGTGATCACTGGAATCTCTATTTCAAATACTTGGTTGGCTTAATAAGTATGTATAAATATAAACGTAAGCGGGCAAAGCCACCGGCAAAAGCTAGTATGATATTTCTAAAAGAGGAAATCTAGGTACTTTATTTATACTCGTAACTATGGGCGGGTTAATGAATAAGAACCTCTTTATTTAACCAGATAATAATGAGATTAAAATCTCTAAAGGAGTAAAAGGTCGAATTTATTTTTGGACGGAGCGTGAAAAGAGGATTTTCCGTTAAAAACTAACTTTATTGAAGTCCCAGAATCTCCGGCCGAAACGGTTTGTGATTTATGATGTTATCAGTTAAGATTAAACCTTTTCATTTCACTCACCATCAATTATTCATAACAAATGGCGAATGATTTAGTTAGAAGATTTGCAGAAAATCAGTGCCTTTAAAGAATGTATTTTTTAATAATAAATACAGTGATAACCACAGGTCTATCAAAATCTGAACAACATGCGCTCTGTATACATTCGATCTTTTGTTCTCTTTGCCCAAGTAGCTTGGGAGTTACTGCAAAATTTCATGAATATTTTTTGTATAACAAAAAATTCCGTATTTGATGCTAATGGTGAGTGAACGCTTAGGACAATGTCATCAACTTTGTGATACCATTTCAGTGCTCGCCAGCTGGTGCCACTATTTTAGCCACTAACAAGCGAAAGGTGAGTTTACAAATGGCACTAAATGGTACTTAGCCTAAGGCTGAGTTTCACCAACTTACTATAACCGTTCAATATAACAATAATCGGTGTTTTTTTTNTTTTTTGTATGGAGTTTGGCAGATTTTCGACGTTGGTTATAGTTAAAGTAAGATGGTGCAACCCAGCCTTAATGTAATTATTTTTATTCTTAGCCTTAATTAAAAAATAATTAGTACGAGTCATCGTCTCCACTATTACTGGAGAAAAGCCGCCCCCAAAGTTTTCCACAACGACCGGTCTCCTACTGTCCGCATCCCGTGACCCTCAGATCGTCGGTCCACCGATTAGGAGGCCTGCCTACACTACGTTTTCTGTTCTACGAACTTTAAATTATTATGATGCCTTACCTATTTAATTTCGAACTAACCTGTCTATACTAATAGCCATGAGTGTGAACACCGAAGCCGATATGCTGAGCACCGCTATGAACTGGCAGAACTTGCAGTAGAAGTGGCCGAAGGGCCAGTCGGAGTTGAGCATGTAGGTGAAGTTGAAGGTCACGTTCAAGGTCGACACCATCGCGTCTGCCACCGACAGGTTCACTGAAAAAGGAATAAGGTTAACCTTGCCTTCGAATGTAGGGTTGCCAGAGGGCAATTTAACTAAAAAAAGTACTAAAAATTAGTGCTGTGCATTAAAATATTTAAAAATAGACCAAAATACACATCGTTACAAATGGAATAACACAAGTGTAACGGTAGCTATCAGAGAGTGGATTATTAAAAAATATTGGGTTTAATTTAGAAAATAATTTAATAATATAAATTTATTCAACCAGGAATCAAAATTGGGACAAACTGTGGTCAAGGTGATCAAATCACTACGGGATCTGGCGCTCGAGTAACATAAATTTGGCAATAAAATAAGCAATGGTGGTTCTTTCTTTTCGTGTGGCCTGATAACCCTGGTCATCACATTTTACTAGCAGCCATCTAACTTAGTTAATTAATAATGTTGGAACAATATGTTTGGATTCCTTTATTAGGTACCCTTAGCTACGAGGAAAATAGATAAATAAGTCTAGTGTTATTTTATTACTTCCCAGAACACTAAAATTGTTTAGTACCTTTTTGCATAGCAACTGTTTCGAGAAATTATTTTTGTCTTATGCTTACTCATTGTGGATTTTATTAAACAAACTTATAATTTCAATCTCTTCTTCATCTTTGCCTAGCCATTTCCCATAATTTGGTGTCGTCTCTCCTCGTTTTTCGTTGTTTGTCCTGGGTTGTCGAAATATTTGTTTGGGAAAGCTCAATTTCAATCCAATTAAGTTTATATTAAAATCAGAAAGCATCTTGTTTCTTTGTTTTTATTAAGAAAATGTTGGCAGCCCTAGAATAATATCGTTTCCCGAGTCTCAGATGCTTTCAATGACAGCGGTGGGCAAGTTTTTTCTTCATTGCACCCTTTGTTTTTGTCTTTATTGACAGATTAGATGTATTGCCGAGATAAAACTGGATAAAACAGAGCACCAAAGTTAAATATTACTTTGGAGTTAGAACCTTGGTTTTAGTGAATGTAAAAGGAAAACTCACGCAGCTCGCTGCGTAGAAAATTGTTTTAACATCACTACTGTATAAAACATTACATTATAGTTAGGATTCAGGCGGAATTCCGTTTATTTTGCTAGTAATAGCCTTGTTATCTGGGGGTAAGAACAAAGGCATAAAATGCCTACTCTAGGAGACAAATGACATAATTTTCCAGATGAGAAAACTGTAGGACCGTACACGTGGTATGGTTCTGTTTTCTACGTAAAGGGTGTTTTAGGTTTTTGTTATTATTGATGACAACATTCCATGTTTTATTATTTCGTTAGATAGTACATTTGTAACTGTGATAAGGGTCGAAAATAGAGGTAATAATTCATGTACCTATCGTCGTTAACATTGCCGATTGACAGCGCACGTATGAATACGAAAGTGAGCAAAAAATGAATATGTAAATATGTCCATCAAGGATAGATTGTGTTTTAGCTTAGCATCAAGGTACTTCCAAAGTCGATTTTGTAACAAACACTAGCTGGGCTCGTGACTTCGTACGCGTGAAAATCGTTTTAGGAAATTCTCGTTTTTGCAAGCATTTTTATATATTTTCAAGGCTAGAGTGAAAAAGCACTTTCAGGGCAGATATGCAGTCTAGTGCATCTCAATTAACATCAGGTGCGATTGCAGTCAAAAACCTGCTTTGTTCTACATTAAAAATTACTACGTTCCTATCAACAAACAAACTGTTAAGGAAAGGCACCTTTATAATATTAGTATAGAAGTATAGATACCCAAGAAATAATTGGTGACACTCCTCATCCGTTTATTGGCCAGCACTATCCAAATGACGACGAGGTTTCCCACGGTGGCCACCACCACCATGCCGGCGAAGAGCACCGTCCACAACACCTGCCTCCACCATGGCAGGATGAAGGATTGGTAGCCCTAGAACGAAAACTAGTTTTAAAAATAATTCATCAAAATACAACATGTAAAAGTGGTGGTATAATAGGTTGTATGATAAGATAAGATAAGATAAGAAAAACTTTATTTGACACAAAAAAGGAAAAAAATAAAAAACAGAACAAAGGGACATATTTTTGTGCCAAAAAGGTGCCCGCTCAGCATTAGCGGCGTATGAGCAAGTTATCACGAGGTGTTCAAATTAAAATTAAAATTCAAATACTTTATTCAGTGCATAGGCCCTTTCTAGGGCACTTATACACGTCCCAAATATAGCTTGCCCTACCACCTCTTCGGGACAACATATGGGCTGGTGCGGAAGAAACTCATTCAATCAGTATGATCAACCAACCATCAAATAGCGTCTTTCTTCCATCGTCCAAAGTCGTATTCTCGCTTTCTTTGGCCAAAGCACACGTGGAGGCAACACTTCTATTGAACGACTAGTCGTGCAGGGGAAGGTGGAAGGCACAAGAGCAAGCGACAGGTCGCCCATGAGCTGGACCGATCAGGTCAAAACCACACTCAATGGTCCACTCCACGAGTGTACAACAAAGGCTGCAGTGCGAGAGGAATGGCGACGGATTGTGAAGCTTGCCACCATATTGTCGATGATACTGAATAAACATTTCTTCTTTCTTTCTTTCAAAACCAGATGTGACCACCATGACCATTCTGCGAAGAGTGTGGCTGGTAGGGCCCAAAAGATAAGGAGACATGTAAAGTGCCCCATAAGGGCTTTTTCTTTTTTTTATTATTTTCTATTGACGTTCATAAGTGCCACTTGTGGTCTAAACTGAACAAATATTTTTTGATTTTGAAAGAAAAAGAAGACCAACCTATAAATCCTTAACGTGAATCTGGTAATATAACTGCAATATCCAAATATAGGTACTATGAGTATTTCCACTACTTTTGCGGGTTTAACGGTTGGGGGTTGGTCTATTTGCGGCCGGATTTAAATTAAATAGTAAGTAAATCTATTTTATGAACGTGATTTCAAAGCAATTCCAAACGGATACATCAATGAACCGTAAGCAATTTAAATACAAATAGTTTGCTAGTCCGCAAACATTTCATTTTAGGTAAGTAGATTTGCCGGTCTAGATATTTTCAATCTCGGGCGGGCCGCTATTTGTCACTAAGGGAAGAATCCTGTACCCATAAATCAGCCATAAGTCTCATTATCATTAATTATAATGATTAATTCCACGTCGAGTGGCCAACTTCGAGCCTATTTCATAGCCGCAGACGAATTTGGATCGGATAAATTTAAACCTCAGTCTATTAATATAGGTAGTACCTACCTACTTCTTCTGGTTACATAATGGACGTAACATTTTAAGATAAACAAAATTAGCAAGAGCAATAGGTNCAATAGGTATGATCTATGTTCAGCAGTGGACGTCCTTGGTTGAAATGATGAAAAAAAAAAAAAAAAAAGGAGGTACCTTAATGGCATGACCCATTTAACTTAAAATAACTACAATATGCTAACTTTACTCCGTCATCCTTTACATAATGTAAACCAGTTCTCCATTGGAGACCACGTCTCGAAAAATGTATCTAATGTATTATCATCAAGTAGCGTGCGGCTCAATTGTTTTGAATTGTAGTACCGAATCTATCAATTGAAACCCGTCGCAGGCGGCTCGGTGCGGATCTCGTGAATCAGACCCTCGTACAGATCAAGCTAATAGGTGCAACAAAAATGCATAGTTTGACGTCTGTACCTACTGGATTTGATCGATTTAAAAATTCAAATTCCTGAACAGTTATTTCTTTGTTCATGTCTGCCAAATGACGTCCACTGCTGGACAAAGGCCTCCCCACAAGGNCAATAGGTGTGATATATGTTCAGCAGTGGACGTCCTTGGTTGAAATGATGAAAAATGAGAAAAAAGGAGGTATCTTAATGGCTTGACCCATTTCACTTAAAATAACTACATGCTAACTTTTCTCCGTAATCCAGTTCTCCATTGGAGACCACGTCTCGAAAAATGTGCAACAAAAATGCATAGTTTGACGTCTGTACCTACTGGACAGCTTGATCGATTTGAAAATCCAAATTCCTGAGCAGTTATTTCTTCGTTCGTGTCAGCCAAATGACGTCCACTGCTGGACAAAGGCCTCCCCCCAAGANCCAAATGACGTCCACTGCTGGACAAAGGCCTCCCCACAAGGAATTTCACAACGACCGGTCCACATCCCGTGACCCTCACCAGATCGTCGGGCCACCTTATATCCACGATAGCTGAACGGTGAAGGGGTCGGAGTGGCCGACTCGAGATCCGAGGAACGCGGGTTCGAATCCCACCGCCGCTTGACTATTGTGGTGAGCCCACTCGTAACACAAGCTTATATAACTTAACACGAAAGTCTAATGGGACTATTATTAGTAATTTGGGCAATACATAACGTCATATCGTCGCCATAACAACAATGTTAACAGCATTGTTGTGTTCCGGCAGTTAGAGGTAAGATAGCCAGTTCCTCCGTGGTTGAGGATTCCGGGTGAAGCTCGCTTCCACCTTCGGCCTGATCATCACTTACCATCAGGAGAGACACAGGCCAAGAGCTTCCTCGTTGTGGATAAAAAAAAAGTTTGTTAGTCGTATACTTACCTCGAAATCAAAAAAAACCTTGTAGCTTTTCACCTATTCTCATTTCGCCGCGATATCAAAATTTCTGAGTAGATTTTCTTATAGTATAATTTTTGATCGCTAATTACAATTGTCTAAAAAATTCATAGTAACTAGGTAGATTTATTTTCCTGCCCGTCTTCACTGTAGTCGCTTTTCACCTTGATAGATATTTGTTTGTAATGCGTTATTACATATCTAAAAATACTTGCTGCTAACTAAATAGGCTATTGACAACATGCTACATCGAAATTTGCTACTGTTGTAAAAATGTATTCAAAATATATGCGGCTTAATATAGGCTATTGATAATACATAATGCTTTATCAAAATTTGCTACTGTTGTAAAAATATGTTAAAAATATATGCTAGTAACAAAATATACTACCGATATTACACGCTACAACAAAAAACGCTATCACGGTGAAATGCGAATAGGTGAAAAGCAACAAGGATTTTTTGATTTCGAGGTATACGATTAACAAACGAAAAAAAAAATACAAATTGCTAATAATCTTTTTAAAATAAAAATACCTAGTGGGGGCCTGCCCACTTATTTCTTACCTGCGTGCTATTCTGGCTGTTATTGAGGTACCTATCGGCGACCTCATCGTAGAACGTGACGTAGTAGTGGTGTTCGTTGTTCGCGGTGGAGAGGTTGGACGCCGCCGTCGGACCCAGCTCGTCCAACATGGTGGCATGGGCGACACCTGCCGACAAATCGAGGAATTAGGAAATGTTTATTTAAATGACAACCAGAAACTTACGGGACTATTCCCATCTCTTGTTCCCACCACTGCAACTCCTGTGTAGCCAGGATCTACAGCTTAATAAGAAAACGCAACCAGTGAAGGTCAAGTTTGTCTCGGGGGAAAGTTAAACTGTCATTGGACCCGCAACGAAATTAATCAGAAGAACATCAGGATTCGAAGTTAAGATTTGAGAAGCTGTGACTGGCTGAGTTGTTGTACGACAACGTAAGATTTTATGTTGCTTTAATTCTTGATTGTATGATGTATTACTACTTTTTTCGTGAAAGCATTTTGTTTCCTGTGTCCTGAAATCCCAATCGCATCTCGTGGAAATAAAATAGCTTTTTTTAAGAAGGTTAGTATAATAATATTTATTATTATTATTTATCATAGAGTCAGGAAAATAGTAGTAAGTATTCTATTTCTAAGGCGAGCTGTAATGTAACTACGTTTGACTCGTACTCGTAGTCGTAGCACATTTGTAGATCAATTCGCTACGTTTCCAGAGTGAGCTACAGCGTAGCGCGACTACGAGCTACGATCGTAGTATAGAAAAAAGTCAAGTATCCGCTACGGCGTTTTTAATACTTTTAAGTATTTTTTTTACCATAAACATTATCCTGCTATATTTATGTAGTTATAATACTAAAGAAATTGTGTATTACACAAACTTTCATCCCCTATTCAAACCGCATACCAATGACACAGTTGGCGACTGTTCAATTTAATTTATTAGTAGAAGCAAATGTTACTGTGTCCATAAAGCGTAGATTATTGCCAATAATAACGGTGATTCAGATCAGTTATCCCTCATTAAGCAACAACTGGCTTATTGACCATCTATTATGTCGTAAAATAGGGTTCCGTATAACTAATTACATAATAAATCTACATCAAAAAACGCTACTTATTGTTAACTTTAATTTTGAACTGGAACACTGAAGTTTTTAAATTATGGGAGGCTGGCAGTAATATCAGCAGCCTTTGAGAGTCGTCTCTAATCTGAGACAATAACGTTTAGCCGCTGGAGTAGTCCCAGTAGACAGCAGTAATATTGCTTTTATACAGGGCTGTCACAGATTTGATACTAGGTTTTGTCACAGAATTACTACGTACAGAAGATCTTCTTCGCGAAGGTATTTAAAAAAATGTATGCTCAATGTCGTTAACAATATGGTGTAAATTAGCTTGTCTCAAGAGTTGAACACCATTTTGTTGACAAATGTCAGTGATCGGTACTTCGGTAAAATGATGTGTGACGTAAGGTGCCAAACTGCGGAAAATGGCGGAGGAAATACTTGAATAAGCTTGAATTATATTTTGTGTTTCTATTATTATTCAGGCAGTTAAAAAATACTGCACAGTATTAATTACACCACCGTTTTTACATATAGTTTATTGTCTTTACAATGCAAATGGGTGAAGAATACGTGCGTGCGTCAATACTCGCTCGTGATTGTCCTGTCGATTAGGTATCTCAGGAGGGGTAGTCGCGCGTGTTTTGTTTTCGATGCAAACTCGCGGAGATAAACAGGCCTGGTTTTGTTGCGGCTTCGCTAAGTGCTGTCTACGTTACGTCTTTTTACGAATAAAAAAATTTTCTTTGCATATAAGCTGCAAGCGTACAATGCGAATAGTCTAGTACGCTACGCTTCTGTCATAACCGTGGACAGTGATGCTAAGGCTTCATGCTTCGAAAACAAAAAAATGATTTAATAAAAAGTTACACACTCGTTGAACAGTAGTTTAAAGCAACATTTCCATACCAGTCACTTTAAACAAGTGTTCTTCAACGAGTGAAAACTTTTATTAGTAAGGAGTTAGACGAGTTTGTGGATGTTTTACTTATTACGTGCTAATTCAATATTTTTTTTTAAATGCGTATACATGTGTATTAAATAAAATATTTAAATAAATCTGTTTTTTGGAAATATCTTTTTTCATGATCGCTCTATGTATTAGGTGGGATTATAATATCCAAGAATAATTTCAGAAATAGCCATAGAATAAGTAGGTTTGCGCCTTTCAGAGATTTTATCGGAAAACTCTTTCTAATAACCTAATAACACAGTGCTGTTATTGTGTTATTAGAAAGAGATTTCCTTCATTACTTCAGTGGAAGGGCTATTCTCGTGCAAAATATGTAGATCATATCGGTGAGGAAACAATTTCGAATTCGTAGCGGTGCCAACCTTGATATTATTAGTTGAGCAATTCAGTGTGCTGGGACCTGTTTGAGTATAAGATTCAGTTGTTATAAGTATAGTTAAATAGTAATTAATTACGTAAAAAGTATTCAGAATAAAATATCCTCTAGAAATGAAAGCATATCAATAAAAATAAGCAATGTTATTATCAATAATTTCTACATTTTGATGTCGTCCTTCGTCTAATATTTTCATAATTGGGAAGTTGAAACCGAATAATAATTGAGCAACCTAACTTTAATCGTTAAAACGTATATTCCCCAAAGAAATAAAGGGCATAATAATTAAGCCATCATCCAATATGGCTGGCTCGCCAATTCAATTTACAAACCATTAATTGATTTCAAAGCAACTACTAATCTAGTTTAATAAACCAATAATTAATCATATAGCTCATGGAAGAGATTGTGTGTTTTGTAAATATTGGTTACTGACCAAATACGACATTGAATTGTTATTTAATATGTTTAATACTGAATTTCAATTTAATATTTTAAACTTTCATGTTTTATTTTTCACTATAAATTATGACTATCAAGAGATTTGGCAACAAAACACTTTATTAAAGGTAAAAAGGATTTACCCTCGACGTTTCAACTCGGTTGCACGAGTCATAGTTAGTCGCCCAGAATTTCAATTGGTTTCAAAAACTAAAGATGAAGTCGGTTTAAAATAAGTGGCTGTGAAGTGAAAAAACGAACGAAGCTCTTTTGGAGGCTTTTCGAAAGCTGTTACTTGAAAAATTGTTAGCATTGCGTTGAATGTACAGGCAGGATCTCTAATCCATTAATTAAGTGGATTATGTCAATAGAGATCGGTATGCGGTATAGTCAACTACATTTTAATTAAAACAGTCCTGTACATGTTGAACTATAGAAGCTACGATAGCTGAACTGTGAAGGTGTGACCGACTTATGAACCGAGGAACGCGGGTTCATCATCATGCCGCTTTAATGAGCCTTATTCCTATTAGGCGCTTTCCTGACCAAACGGGACTATTCCCACCTCTCGTTCCCACCACTGCAANGTCGTACAGGGGTACTACATGGTAAATTAAATCTCGGAGGCGAAAGCAGGATAATTATTATTATAAGTATTATATTTCTAAGGCGAGCTGTAATGTAACTACGTTTGACTCGTACTCGTAGTCGTAGCACATTTGTAGCACTCTACGTTTCCAGAGTGAACTACAGCGTAGCGCGACTACGAGCTACGATCGTAGTATAGAAAGAAGTAATGTATCCGCTACGGCGTTTTTAATACTTTTAAGTATTTTTTTTACCATAAACATTATCCTGCCATATTTATGTAGTTATAATACTAAAGAAATTGTGTATTACACAAACTTTCATCCCCTATTCAAACCGCATACCAATGACACAGTTGGCGACTGTTCAATTTAATTTATTAGTAGAAGCAAATGTCACTGTGTCCATAAAGCGTAGATTATCGCCAGTAATAACGGTGATTTAGATCAGTTATCCCTCATTAAGCAACAACTGGCTTATTAACTATCTATTATGTCGTAAAATAGGGTTCCGTATAACTAATTACATAATAAATCTACATCAAAAAACGGTACTTATTGTTAACTTTAATTTTGGACTGGAACACTGAAGTTTTTAAATTATGGGAGGCTGGCAGTAATATCAGCAGCCTTTGAGAGTCGTCTCTAATCTGAGACAATAACGTTTAGCCGCTGGAGTAGTCCCAGTAGACAGCAGTAATATTGCTTTTATACAGGGCTGTCACAAATTTGATACTAGGTTTTGTTGCGTCTTTTTAAGAATGAAATAAAATTTTATTTGCATTTAAGCTGCAAGCGTACAATGACGAAACGCGTCTAGTACGCTGTGGACAGTGATGCTAAGGCTTCACGCTTCGAAAAAAAATAGAAATTTAATAAAAAGTTACACACTCGTTGAACAGTAGTTTAAAGCAACATTTCCATACCAGTCACTTTAAACAAGTGTTCTTCAACGAGTGAAAACTTTTATTAGTAAGGAGTTAGACGAGTTTGTGGATGTTTTACTTATTACCTGCTAATTCAATATTTTTTTAAATGCGTATACATTTGTGTATTAAATAAAATCTATAAATAAATCTGTTTTTTGGAAATATCTTTTTTCATGATCGCTCTATTAGGTAAGATCATAATAACCAAGAACAATTTCAGAAATAGCCATAGAATAAGTAGGTTTGGCCTTTCAGAGATTTTATCGGAAATCTCTTTCTAATAACCTAATAACAGCACTGAAGGCGATTCTCGTGCAAAATATGTAGATCATATCGGTGAGGAAACAATTTCGAATTCGTAGCGGTGCCAACCTTGATATTGTTAGTCGAGCAATTTAGTGTTTTGGGACCTGTTTCAGTCCAATTGGTATAAGATTCAGTTGTTATAAGTACCTATAGTTAAATGGTAATTACGTAAAAAGTATTCAGAATAAAATATCTTCAAGAAATAAAAGTGGAACTTGGCTTGAGTCGCGCCCGTGGCTAAATGAGCAATGTTATTTTTTGTGTAGTATCAACAATTTGATCATTTTGCTGTCGTCCTTCGTCTAATATTTTCATAATTGGGAAGTTGTAACCGAATAATAATTGAGTAACCTAACTTTAATCGTTAAAACGTATATTCTCCAAAGAAATAAAGGGCATAATTAAGCCATCATCCAATATGGCTGGCTCGCCAATTCAATTTACAAACCATTAGTTGACTTCAAAGCAACTACTAATCTAGTTTAATAA